GGAGAGACAGAGACAGAGAGACAGAAAGTGAGAAATCACCCCCCAGAGGGGATGGCCACACCACAATCCCTTCTCTGTTCTCCTCTCGGGATCTTGGGCACACATGCACATGTGCCCGGCATGAGTTTTAAGCCACCGGGTCTGGGATGCAAACCACGGTCGACTACATGAGAGTCCAGTGACACAGTCATTACGCTAACTGCTGGTCCCCACAATAGGTTAATCTTAATAGAGCTTGGATTTAATGACATCATGCTCTTGCACCAAAACCTACATGGGATAAAGCAAATCTAAACTTGATTCAACTCTGAAGGTCTTAGACATTATTAGCTCAGAGTACCTCTTCTTCCTTATCCTCTGTTTCTCCTCACAGTCATCCAGCACGGAGCAATAGGGGGACATTGTGAGAAATGCATCGTTATGCAATCCCATCACTGTGCAGATAACATAAGTGTACTTAGCAAACTGCGATATTAGCCTACTACACACGTAGGCCGTATGGTTATACCTTGTATACCTGCAGGACCATCTTCATGTATGTGGTTCGATGTTGACTGAGACATCATCCAGCGCGTGACTGTACTTACATGATCTACTATGAAAAACCAGCTGCTCCCTTTTCCTGGGCCTGTTATCTCCGGTCTCTCTTCCTGAACTTGTTCCCTAGTCTTTTTCACTTCCCTTTCTACCAAAGCCCGCCCTCATCAGAAGCTGTGTTAAATGCTCCCTTCCCCGTGAAACATTGTTTGCTGTGCATGCAAACACCATGTGTGAATCCAGCTTTTATACCCTGTAGTGCTTTGATCATGGTATAACATCCGTAGATGTTTTAATGGAATGTCTATCTTGTTTAATATAAACAAGGACACATCTTTCTCTTAAATTAATAGCTTATTGAAAGCAAGTGATATAGACTTAATTTTGCCCTAAGAAATGAAGATCAATTTATAGTGTTTGGTTTCAAATACAAAAGAATGCCTGACCTAATGAAAAATTTAAAATTTCTGACAGATAACAAGATGCCTGGATCTTGTCACTCTTCTATGTGGAATCTTTTTTTAAGTACAAAGGAAATGACATTTATCACAGCCTCATTATGGAATAGTTTCTGCTCAGTTCAAAGTCATTTAATACAGCTGTGCTTAGTGAACCTCATTAAACAGGTGTATCTTTTGAAAATCTCTGTAGAATGATTTAATTATGTGACTTCACAAACCAGTGTAGGAAGTAATTGAAGTAGTTGCCAACAACCTGGAATTTTTTTGCTTAAATTCTCTTGATTTTTTCTTTCTCTACTTATAGTATGTTAGTGGTCCTCAGACTTTAATGGCATATAAATATTCAGCATTTTTATTTTTATTTAAATTATTTAAAAGCTTTTGCCATAGGGTGCATGCACTTGCTTGTGAGAGAGAGACAGTGAGAGGGAAAGAAAGAAATCACCCCTCATGGGGGATGGCCATGCTGCAATCCCTCCTCCTCTATTCTTCCCTCAGAACTTTGGGCATGCCTGGCATGATTTTCAAGCCGCCCAGTCTGGGACTTGAACCGTGATTAGTCATGTGGGAGTCCAGTGCCAAAATGACCACACCTCCTACCTGGTCCCTAGAGTTTATTTTTTCTTTCTTTTTTTTTTTTTTTATTTTGAGATTTCGTGTATGCTCACCAAAAACACAGAAAGAGACAAAGTGAGAAAAGCACCTTCTAGAAGGGATGGCTACACTGCAGTCCCTTTTCCTCCATCCTTCTCTCAGGATTTTGGGTATACATGCACATGCACGTGGCATGAGTTTCAAGCCACTGGGTCCAGGACTTGAACCGTGGTCAGCCAGGTGGGAGTCCAGGGGCTACTTTAACTACTATACCACCTGTTGGTATTTTTAAATGCATATTTTCAACCTTCTTCCTCAGAGATTATAATTCCATAAATTGGGGTGGAGTTGAGAAATCAGCTTGCTTGCTTGCCTATTTATAGATAGGTAGGTAGGTAGGTAGGTAGGTAGGTAGGTAGATAATTTTTGCTATAGGGCATGTCTACTTGCTGGAGAGAGTGAAAGAGAGAAAGTGAGAAATCACCCCCTCCAGGGAGGATGACCACGCCATAATCCCTTCTCCATTCTCCTCTCAGAATTTTCAGGCGCACGCGCGTGCACACACACACCTGGTGTGAGTTTTAAGCCACTGGGTCCGGGACTCAAACCACAGTCAACTACGTAGGAGTCCAGCAACATAACCATTACACCATATGCTGGTCTGTGTTTGTTTATTTTTAATTTGCCAGAGGGCATGTGTGCTTGCAGAGGATTGGGGGCAAGAAAGCACTGCCCACTGGGCATAGTCACATCATGATGCATTCTCCTCCATTTCTCCCTCTCGCTGAGATTCTGGGCAGGTGCACACACACACCTGGTAGGAGAAATCAGCAGTTTAAAAACAGCCCAGGTGTAGCTAATGAAGGTGATGCACAGCTACACTCTATAAAACAATATTGTCCTCGGTGGAAGTTCTGTATTACAGTGAGTGAGTTATTGGACTGGTTAACCTAATTTTTAACTTTTTCTTTAAAAACCGTTCGCATTATAGAGACAGAAGATCTGTGGGAGCTTAACTTTGCAGCATCACATGCTAGAACCTGTGCAGCGGATTCCCCGGTACGAGATGCTCCTTAAGGACTACCTGAGGAAATTGCCCCCCGACTCCCTGGACTGGAATGATGCTAGAAGTAAATGCCCTTTTATGTCTTCCCCTGTTATGCAATAATCAAGTGGCTGAGTGGTTCCAAAGCAAGATATGTCTTACAGTGATTTTAGTCAAATGCTACTGTCAGGAAATAGTCTCACTGGAAACTGTTATCAACACACCTCAATTAGGCAAGTTACTTTTAAACCAAAATAACACGTTAAGAACAATGCAAATCACATTTCTCGTGCTGGTTTCACGTTAATCACTAACTCTGAAATCTAAAACTATAGTCTTGGAGCTATCTAGAATAGCAGTACACAGGAAGAGCACAGCCAGAGATGTAAGTGCTGCTCTTTAATACCTAGGTCGATGCATACCCAGAAAGCTAAGATGACATTTACTCTGTAAAAATAACCTAAGGGAATTGGCCCTATGTAGCCTGCGGTGCTTTTTATTTTTCATTTTCCTCCAGAAAATTGAATTCCCATTTTGTTACCTGTCTTTTTTTTTTATTAGTTTACAATAAAAGGCTTTTTTAAAAAATTATTTAATTTATTATAATCATTTTTCAGTTTGACCAGAGACAGACAGAAAGAGAGGGAAAGTGAGAAAGTAAGCTGCCAGGTCCAGGACTTGAACTGTGGTCAACCAGGTGGAAGTCCAGCACCTCAATCTGCATGCCACCTGCTGGCCCAGTGAAAAGCTTTCTAAAGGCTTACAAGATTCAATAATAATTTAGTTTTCCCATGCAATTTTAAAAATCAGTGCACTATAAAGGGCTGGATGAAAATTTAAGAATAGAAAGGATTTGTTATTTCAACAGGTATTAATGATATTGGTGTGCAGTCTTAAAACACTGCTTTCCTTTGTAATTTCTGATTATCTATTAGACGTGAGCTTCTATGAGACGAGGAACATAAGACCTTGTTTTTGGCCTTGGAGCCTGAGACTTTTTTTTTTGTGGAGAGGTTTTTCGCTATAGGGCGTGTGCGCTCGTCAGTCAGACAGAGAGAGACATAGAGAGAGAAAGCGAGAAATCACCCCCCTGGGGGGATGGTCACGCCGCATTCCCTTCTCCTCCATTCTCCTCTCGGGATCTTGGGCACATACACACATGCGCCCGGCGTGAGTTTTAAGCCACCAGGTCCAGGACTCGAACTGCAATCGACTACGTGGGAGTCCAGCGACATAGCCATTATGCTAACTGCTGGTTCCCTCCGGAGCCTGAGACTTTTCTTGAACACAGTTGTCCTGATGTTTCTCCCTCCATGCATGGTCCTCTTAACTATTGAAACTTCTCTTCCTCCCTTTCCCCTTCTACAGTTTTTGAATGACCCCCAACTCGCCATCCCTCCTGAACCCAGTACATCCTAGAAATTCTGCCTCATCTCTCTTTCCTGCCCATCTGACCTGAGTACCGGGCTTTGGAAGCAGTTAGTTGTGGGAATCCCCACGGCTTTCCCTCCGACTTGCCCCCAAGCAGTGGCCCATCTCGTCTCCCTCTCTTAGATCCTGTATCTAATGCCCAGACTTGCCCAGTTAGCATAGTTCTCTATAATATGAATAAAGACAGTTTCTTCTGTACTGAAAGACTTTTGATTTCCCTTAAGGTACCAATGCTAAAATCAAAACATTACATAGTAGGGCATTTTATTATTTTTTTGGTTTCTTGTTGCTATTTATACTTAAATTCTAGGAAAATCGCAAAAGAAAGGCTTTCAGAGACCCTAAAGTAGAGGGAAAACGACAAAAACACCTTCTCTTCTGTAGTGCACGGCAGCAGAAAATGCAAGCAGGAGACCTTGTACCAAAGTAGTGTACGTTGTAAGTGCTTGCTGATTTCAAAGGCCCAGTATGGATTAAATATACCTGTGAATCCAGTCACCCAGTATGAGTGTCTGTAAGGATGCACTATTCAAGTTCCAAATAATCTGCTTACAAATATGCTTTTGAAAGTATCCAGTTTGAAAAAGGAAGTTGCCACTACCTTTATTGTGTCTTTGGTCTCACGTTTCTCATTTCAGGGTATATGTTATTCAGCTATCTTTTAGCACAGGAAGGACAAAGCATATTTATCTATTTTTTTTTCCCCATTTAGAATCACTTGAAATTATATCTACAGCAGCAAGCCATTCTAATAGTGCAATAAGAAAAATGGTAAGTGCTTTTTTAGAGGAGATGGGAACCTTCTGTTTAGATATCAGTCACATAGCCTAATGAGGCGTGGACCACGGTGAATTGATAGTGGCAGAGGGGTGGAATGTGGGGAGAGAATCTACAAAATATTTAGTGTTACTTGGAATAATCCTCTCCTCTCTCCACTCAGATTTCAGTTTGTCGTTAATGATGTGTTTCATATCAAAATGTATACTTGTTCGTCATCCCTTCTGAATTATCCAGATTTTAGTTAAGGTCGTGGTATTATTGAAACCTTACATTTGTTGTTCCTGTGTTTTCATTTCCTAGGAGAATCTAAAGAAACTCATAGAGATTTATGAAATGTTGGGAGAAGAGGAGGATATTGTAAATCCTTCCAATGAACTCATCAAAGAAGGACAGATCCTCAAACTAGCTGCTCGGAACACATCAGCCCAAGAACGCTACCTTTTCTTAGTGAGTATTCTGCTCTCAGCAACCCACATGAGCATAATTCATCAAAATTGCTGTATACGTCTTGGAGAAGTAGGGCGCCGTGTTGCTCACCAAAGCAGTTACATCTAACCTGTTTTCTTAGCACTGTCAGGACACCACATGAAGGAATGTTCTAAGTAACTCAAGCTTAGTATTTTTCTTCAATTTTTCTGTACACTTGCATGTAATTTACTTAAGAAACACATACTGAAGAGTTTCATCCTGATCATAGCCACTGGTGTGTACGTGGGATATGATATCATTTCTGAAATCTTCCCTTTGTTTCAGATTTTCTCTTTCCTTTTTACAAGCTAATGGGTGCCATTTCCTGGATATTTTGTTGGTATACTACTTCTTGATCCTCTGTAACCACTGCACTTAATATTTCTATGTTAAAAATACACACACACGCGCACGCACACACACACACACACACACACACACAGACATAGGCAAAGTTGTCAGACTTACGTCTAAAATACCTCTGGGACCAGTATATGTGTTTGCGATGCCATTCCTTTTCACTGTAATCAGTTGTCATTCGTTCCTCTGCTTCCTGGAAATGATCATTAGCCTGGGGCTCATCTCAAATATAAGAGTCTTCCCGGGGCATCCAGACCATTATATTTTTAGTCTCTCTCCACTCGACCTTTATTTTTTATTATCTTAATAAATTTCAGTTGCTTTCTGTATATAATAAGATGATGATAAGAATCATAATATATCTTGCATTGACAGGGTAAGCTAACATTGAATAATAGCTCCATAAATATTAGTTGTCATTATGATTATTATTAAAGGCAAAGAAACAGAGACGCATTGGTAAAGAGGCTGCCACACAATATATTATCAGAGTATTATTTATATCTTTTTTCTGTTGCAAGGCAGTCATCTCACCAGCCATAGCATGAGTTACTACTAGATATTTAGATCTTTCTGTCCTGTTCCCAGCCTTTCTCATAAGTGAAATGTATAGGAGCTAATTGTCATGCAGAGGGGTGTTCAGTTGCCTCTCAGTCATTTTTTGAAAAGAACATTTGTACCAGATGACCCGGCAGTTCTACTCCTGGCTTGTGTAACTCAAGAAAATTGAGGGCTAGCTCCCTAGCACAGAGGATAAGCACTGTACAAAGGAAACCAGATCCCACATGGCCAACCAGGGTTTAAGTCTTGGCCCAGCAACTTATACTCCAGGTTTCAGGATGAAAAATCAGAGAAAAACATGATTGCAGTGTGACCATGCCTGATCCCATTGGCAGGTCCATGTGCTCACTCACTCTCTCATGTGTGCACAGGCACCCTCTGGCATAACGGAAGACAAGAAAATTGAAAGCATATGCCCACAAAAACTTATTCATCTGTGTCCATGGAGGCATTATTCATAACATCCCCAAACTGGAAACAACCTAAATGCCCACTCATTGATGACTGAGTAGACAAAATATGGCATATTCATGGAGTAGAATATTATTATGTAAATTCAATAAAAAGGAATGAAATACTGATACATGTTATGTGAATGAGCCTTGAGGACATTGTATCACATGAAAGCAGCAGTCTGGAGTGATTAGTCCCAGCCGGTAAGACCTCCATTAAGGAGGTGGTTGGGGATTCCATCTCTAGATTGGTTGTTTTCTATATAAAATGTATGGCGTAGTGGTTATGTCACTGGACTCCCACAGGGTCAACCACAGGTCAAATCCTGGACCCAGTGGCTTGAAACTCACGACTGGCATGTGCGTGCGTGTGTATGTGTGTGTGTGTGCGCACGCATACATGCCCAATAGCCCAGGAAGAGAATGGAGGAGAAGGAATTGCAGTGTAGCCATCCCCCACAAGGGGTGATTTCTCACTTTCCCTCTCTGTCTCTCTCTCCAGTGAGGGTATGCTATTGCTTTCTAGGAGAATGGAGTCCCATGGCAGGAAGTTTAGGAAAGTCACCTTTATCTTTTGAAGACCATCTCAAACATTTCTAGTGTAGCTGATTCTTTTCATCCACTCTGTCTAGGACTGTGCATGTCACCGGATATCACCCCCCCCACACACTGCAGCCTCCCCCATGGCACTTTTACTCCCATGCGGCATCTTGTTCTTTCATATGTCAGAACTTCAGGACCATCTTACTTTACTTTTCTCCCAAGAAAGGCTAATTTTTGTTTTATGTTTTTTGGGTTTTTTTTCTACTGTAGGATTATTACATTCATCTGAAAAGCCAAATTATATTTAGAATCTGATTTCAGCTTCCATGTGTTTGCATGTTTGCTCACCACTACCCTGTATTTGCTCACTTTTCTACATTGACATAGCGTACTCTGTTGTCTAAATAATTGTAACTGACACCTGAAATGTAAGAAAGAAAAATCACAGAGTTACTCCACAGAATGATCCAGGAGTTTTTATTTATTTACTTTATCTTTTTTTTTTTTTTTTTTTTTTTGTCAGAAGGCACATGCACTTGTGGAAGAGAGAGCAGGAGGGGGGAAGTGAAGAAGCACCCTCCACGGGGCATAGTCTTGTGGCAATCCTTTCTCCGCCAGTTCTCCCTCCTTTCGGGGTTCTGTGCATGCATGCAACTGTCTAGATTGCTTTCCAGGCTGCTGGTTTTTAACTCAACCACGTGGTTAGCCACGTGGGATCCAGCTGCCTTAACCACCATGCCACTGACTGGCTAGAGCTGTTATTCTTGACCCTTATACTCCTATTCCTTATTTCCTTGTAACTTGATAAATTCATTTTTTTCTTATTATTTAAACTTTAAATATAGACAAGATACTAGAAATTTTCCCCAACAATATACCCTTACCTTCTAAAATGAACTTTAATGAAAGTGTCCCTGGTAAGGACATGAAACTGAATGATTTCAACCTAATAAACATATTTAAAGAGGCTGGAAATAAATACTTGAACACTGGAGATGAAAAAAGATCTTCCCTATGCTTTTAGTAAGATTGAGGCTTGATTCTAGGTTTTGCCACAACCCAGGACCTCTAGAGATTGCCTCTGCAGTGCAAGACCGCTTTCCCGATCACTACTTCTGAGCTATGGGCATGAAGCAAAGGGAGTCTCTTACAAAGAAAGGGAAAGTTGTAGTTGCTGTAACTTCTTCTTTTGGTACCAAGAGAAACCCAGAGAGAAGTAAGTCTCTTTGTGGAAGGTGGCTTTTACCGCAGGAGCAAGGTTCATGGAGGGAACAGAATTAGCTGTCCAGTTTCTTCACATACATGGTGTCTTCTTTGTAGGCCACATTTTACACCTTGCAAGAGTTCTCCCCTTCACCCATATGAAGAAAAAAAGATTTATTGGGAACCAGCAGTTAGTGTAATGGCTATATCGCTGGACTCCCACGTAGTCGACCGCAGTTCGCATCCCAGACCCGGTGGCTTAAAACTCACACCGGGCACGTGTGCGTGCGTGCCCAAGATCCCGAGAGGAGAATGGAGGAGAAGGGATTGCGGCATGACCATCCCCGCTGGGGGGTGATTTCTCGCTTTCTGTCTCTATGTCTTTCTCTGTCTGGCGAGAGCATGCACCCTATAGCGAAAATCTCTCCCCCCCCCAAAAAAAAAAGAGTGTGACCAGAATTAAACGTGATTGATAACACAGTTATTGACAGCTTAACATGAAGTCCCACTTAGAAAGAATGTAAGAAGGGGAACGTAGTCCTGAAAGCATGAAAAAAAAAGAGTAGCCTACATATTTATAAGAAAACCTGTCATTTAATGTGAACATAACCACAAAAAGTCAATGCTAAGAATCTCTGTATTCCTGGGCTTGTGTTTCTGTAAAATAACAAGACTCGGCTGAGCTTTGTAAAGTGAATTTGAGCACAAGGATCAGATAACTGAGTAACTCCAGGCCATCACAATACATGTGTCCTCCATTTGCAGCAAGCTTGGTTACTGCCGATGCCCTGAAGGGGCTCTATCCCTTGTGGTGGTAGCCCTGCAGCTCCTGTGATATTCACAGCCTTGACCAAAGCACCTCCTGAGGAGGCCTTGCTAGAAGAGGGAAAGAAATGTTAACATGAGAAGTTAGCACACAAGCTGTCACCTCAGTGAGCTATGAGAAAGCGCGATGCGAACCTTTCAGAGTTTCTAAGTCCTGCGTAGCACAGCGAGACTGCGATTGCCGCACTCAGTATATATAGTTAGTGGTAAAGACCTGGGTCCTCTTCTAGAAATTGGTGTGAAACACAACACTGAGGTCTATCCGAATGTATTGAGTGCTCTCTTATTTGTACATCCTGTTCAGTGTGGAACTGAAATTTATGACTCTGGTGACAGGAAGTTACAAAATTATGTACAAGAAACAACTGCTGAGAAATTTGCTTTCAGAATGAGTAAATAGATCTTTGCCACATAAACACGTTGGGATGTTTTAAACCTTTTGGCATTTCTTGTCTTCATGGCAATGAGAAACCAAACAGAGATGGTCTGGTAGGATAGGTCTGAACTCCAATCCCAGAAGAAAGTAAAATGAGACATGTTAAATTTAAGGACTTTAGTATACGCAAAGCACTGTTCTAAAGACCTCCCATTTGTTTCTCATTTTTACCTTCTCAACAGCCTGAGACTTAGGGATTGTGATCGTAAGGTCCATGGTTCACAGAGCTCCTAAGAGGTATAGTGGGGCTTGAACACAGTCTGGCTTCAGAATCTAAATGATGAATAGCCCTCAGGTGCAAGCCCGCTTCAAGAAAAATATTAGCAAAAAACAAATTGAGAAACTTTGATGAACCAAGTGAATTATAATCGTGTTGAATTCAGAGCACATGTAATCAAGAAAGTAAATTTTTAAAAATAACGTTTTTGGTATCTAATTGCTCTTGTCTTTTAAACTATATGTTATCCTAAAAATAACTTAAGAAACAATAAGTACGAAGTAGGAAGTATGACCTTTCTCTTATAAGTCTGCCCACAATTAACCCAAATAACTTCCGTTTTAACCTTTTACCACATTGTTTTTCATATTCCTGGTTAGTAAGTACTATTAATTGTTGACTAAAAATAAGGTACTATAGGGGCCAGCAGTTAGCGTAATGGCTTTGTCGCTGGACTTCCACATAGTCGACTACAGTTCACATCCCGGACCCGGTGGCTTAAAACTTGTGCCGGGCACGTGTGCATGCATGCCCAAGATCCCAAGAGGAGACTTGGAGGAGAAGGGATTGCAGCCTGGCCATCCCCCCTGGAGGGATGATTTCTTGCTTTCTTTCTCTCTGTCTGTCTCTGTCTGTCTGGCGAGCGCACACGCCCTATAGCGAAAACCTCTCCAAAAAACAACAACAAAAAAGAAGTAGGTTGCTTAGTTTCTTTGTGTTGTGTATTTTCAAGGATTTTTCCTAAATTTAAATTCTGGAAAGTTTAATTCCATCATAGTCAGAGAAGATGCTGGATATAGGGAACCAGCAGTTAGTGTAATGGCTATGTCGCTGAACTCCCACGTAGTCGACCGTGGTTCGTGTCCCGGACCCGGTGGCTTAAAACTCACGCCGGGCGCGTGTGCGTGCGTGCCCAAGATCCCGAGAGGAGAATGGAGGAGAAGGGATTGCGGCGTGACCATCCCCCCGGGGGGTGATTTCTCGCTTTCTGTCTCTGTGTCTCTCTCTGTCTGTCTGGCGAGCGCACGTGCCCTACAGTGAAAATCTCTCCAAAAAAAAAAGATGCTGGATATAGTTTCTGTGCCTTTGAATTTGTAAATATTTGATTTGTGCCCTATCACATGGTTGATCCTTGAAAAGATTCCATGTCAGGGTGAGAAAAATGTATATTTTGTGATCTTAGACTGGAAAGTTCTATATATGTCTGTAGATACTATAAATCAGGTCCATTTGATTTATAGTATCATTTAGGTCCTGTATCTCTCTGCTTATTTTTTGTCTAGAAGATCTGCCCAAAGGAAATAATGGAGTGTTGAGATCCCCAACAATTATAGCATTGCAACTTATCTTTCCTTTCAGCCCTAGCAGTGTTTCCTTCACATATTTCGGTGCTCCTGAGTCGGGTGCATAGATACATTTATAAGTGTTATGTCTTCTTGATGAATTAGCCCTTTTACTACTATATAATGCTCTTCTTTGTATTATCTTACAGTTTTTATCTTAAAGCCTATTTTGTCTGAAATCAGTATCATGATTCCAGCTCTTTTCTGATTTCTGTTTATATGGAATTCCTTTTTCCAGTCCTTCACTGTTAGTCTGTTTATGTCTTTATCCATGAGATATATTTCTTGTAGGCAGCAGATAGAAGGTTTCTGGATTTTCTTTTGTTTTATTTTGTTTTAATCCATTCAGCCAGTCTGTCTCTTGATCAGAGAATTTAATCCATTAATGTTCAACGTTATTATCAATTTTTCTAGACATGTTCCTATCATGAAATGAGCCATTTTATTGGTGTTTTTTGTTCTTATTTCTGTCTGTCTGACTTTAGTTTTCCTGGCATAGCACTCCCTTCAGAACTTCATGAAAAGCTGATCTGGAGTTCGTAAATTCTTTCAGGTTTTGTTTATCTGAGAATTTTTTTAAATCTCTTTTCCAATATTAAGGATAATCTTGCTGGGTATAGTAATATTGATGAAATTATTTTTCATTTAACGCTTTGACAATATTTCCCCATTGTTTCCAACAAGATATCTGATGTTAACCTGATTCAATAACTTTTGTAAGTAACTTGTCATTTCTCTCTTGCCAATTTTAGTACCTTGTCTTTGTGGTTTTGGCCAGTCTGATTATAGTGTACCTTGGAACAGATCTTGGGTTGATTCTATTTGGGGTCCTTTTTATTTCTTGGATCTGGATATTTGAATGCCTCTCTAGGCTTGGAAAGTTTTCTTCTAGGATTTCATGGAATAAATTGGCAATGCCCTTATTATTTTCTTCACCTTCTGGGATACCAGTTATCCAAATATTTGGGTGCTTAATGGTATCTAGTATTTTTCATATATTGTCCTCATTTTTCTTGGTTATTTTCTTAGTCTTTTTGATAATTTTTTCTAGTTCAGATATTTTGTCTTCTACATTCGAGATTCAATCTGCATGGTCTAATCTGCTTTTAATACTTTTGAGGGAGGTTTTAATTTCCTGTATCATGGTCTTCATCTCTAACAATTCCATTTGATTCTTTTTTATGACGTCTGTTTCTTCTTTCAAATTGTGAAAGGACTCTGCATCTCCTGGAGCTCATAGCCTCTTTTCTCTTGCGTCTCATTTAGTTTTGTCACTATAAATATTTTGAATTATTTATCTGACATTTCCACAAGTCCCATTGTGCTGTCTGTGGATGATGAGGAATTGATATTTTCCCTCTGGGGAGAGATATTTTCTTGGTTGCTCATATTTCTTGTGCCTCTGTGAAGGTTTCTAGTCATCTGCTGATTTATATGTTCCTTCCTAAATTCTTTGAGTTAATTCTGAGCATTCAAAGGTATGCAGGAGTAGGTGACTAGCGATCTCTCTGCTGCTCTACCTCCCTGATGCTCACCACCAACCTGCACTGTGGTCACAAGTCTTGGATCAAAGTCCTCCCAGTTTCTAAAGTGCAGGTGTGCCCAAGAATGAGCTGCTAGGCTTAAATTCAGGAAGATAAAAGGAAGTGTGCAATGCACATTACACACCAGACACTTCAGAAAATGCTGAAATCTTAGACTTCAGAGGTGTGTGGCAGAGGATAAGCCACAGTCTCTTTGCAGCTCAGTCTCCCTGTGCTGGAAAGAATGTCCAGATGGGGCGGGGAGGGGCACAAGGTCTTCACAAAGTCCCAAGCAAAAACACCTGAGAGTTCAAAGGAGAAAGGGGGCAAGGATGAGCAATGGGTCTCTACCGCACAGCCACCAGCTGCAAGTGGCCTGCCGTAATGCAAGACCTTCTGATGGATCTCAAGGATTCTTAATATTGCCAAAGAACACTGTATGATCTTGTATAAAATAGAGGTCTTGGAGCTCCATAGCTGGTGGTTAAGGTAGCTGGATCCAACATGGCCAACTGTGCAGTTTGAGTCATAGATCTGGCAGCTTAAAAGATGCACTATGGGGGGGGGGTATGGGAGGGTACACACACATATGTGCCCAAAGTCCTGACAGGAAGGAGAGATGGAGAAGGGATTGTGGCATGACCATTCCCCATGAGAGGCTTTTCTACCTCCTACTCTCTCTGTTACTCTCTGGCAAACACATGAGCCCTTTAGCAAAAAAATAATAATAATTATTATTATTATTAATGAATAGAGATCTTGGCCAGGTGACTGACTTGTTAATGTAAGGTTTAGTGAGCTAATCTGAGACATTCTGCATTAATAAATTGACTGTTTTTAAAAATTTAACATTGAACACTGATTTTAAAAATTGCTAAATATTACTTTTTCTTTTCTGATAGTTCTTTGAGACTGGCTCACAAACACAACCAATGAAAAATTCTAGTGTACAAGTAATTTAACTTAAAAAGTTAAGAACTTCAGTTCATGGCATATAGAAAGTCCTTAATAAACTGTTGTTGAATTTATTTAACTAATTTCCTGAAAGCAGTAGTACAAAGTGATGACTGATTTATACAAATATTTATGAGCCATGAAATGGAAATGTATTTCAAAATGTTTATGATACAAACAGAAAATCTCAACTTTGTAGCACATACTTTTGCTCAGAATTTCTGTCCAGAGCTACTTTTAATATTGGCCTGTTTTCCCTCTTTCCTTTATTTCCCTGTTTGTTGGTGGATGTTCTGCCTCCTTGCAGTTCAACAACATGCTGCTGTACTGTGTACCCAGATTCAGCTTGGTGGGCTCCAAATTCACAGTTCGAACCAGGGTGGGCATTGATGGAATGAAAATCGTAGAGACTCACAATGAAGAATATCCACATACTTTCCAAGTGTCTGGGAAAGAGAGGACATTGGAACTGCAGGCCAGGTAAGAGAACCATTCCTGTCACACAGCTGCCCTGAAACATAAGAATGAATCATAGAGCAATATGGCTGTGGGGCTTTTATCCAAGTAAATGCCACAGACCACTAGGAATCTGGCTGGATGGAAATGGAGAGCTGTGAGCTGCTCAAAAGCAGAAATCATGTCATCGTCTTTTGATTCCTCCACAGCACCTAGAACAGTGGTGTGTAGACAGTGAGCGTTCAGTTAATTGATTGACTCTTCAGAATTAGAAGGTACTCAGATGATGATATTGTTGCAATTAAGCCTAATCTTGAGAGATATAGGAAAAGGTTCTCTCTTAATCTTGCCTTTCGTATTTTGTTTTGGTCCACAAATGTTTGTTGATGCTATATGTGCCTTGCTAAACTGTGAGTCCTTCAGAAGTGCTGCATTCTTGGATTTTAGGGACATATTGATGGACAGAAATATTCAAAGGAGACAGGGTGATAAAGGAAACAATTCTCCCACCACAGTTGGAGGATACATGAAAGGAGCTATTTGGGACTCATTTGGTTGCATCTGGAGACCAGGACTTCTGGACACTTTGACTTTATGTGCTTCATTAAGTGAGAGAGAAAAAGCTAGAGTTCTGGCTAACATTTTCGTAGTGTCACCATATTGGGGCGGAGGTGGGATTCCATGAGAACTACTACAATAGACCCCAGCTACGTCACGTATGAACTGGAAGACAGAGTGCTGTCAGACTTGGAAATAGTCTGCTGTAGAAGATAATCATCTATTCATCCTACAAAGACCTAATATGGTGAAAATCTAGATACACCAGTAGGTCATAAATCAGAGGGTTAGGTACCAATTCCAGCACCAATAGTAGTGTCATCCCATAATCCAGCAAGACGACTTCTTATTCCTCTGCACCAATAGAATGTGATTCTGGTTACTTGGATTCATCCTGGACATTTGTACTTAACTCGCTAAGAGCTTAATCTGCGGGTTTCAAAAAGAAAATAAATACTGTGATTGGGAATCTGTGCCTAGAGAACCTAAGAATTGATAAGATTATGGTCATGGGACTTAAGGTGTCCTGGTAGAGTTTGAAGAAACAGCCAGTTCTTTAATTTCCTACAAAGAATACATACTGAACCTGGTTATTTAGGAACAGCCAGGGGACTGGCATGAAGATTATCAGCCAGTAGCATTTCAACAGCAAGTTAAAAAGGTAGAGGAATTGGCTTTGAATGTCATGGTTTTCCTACTCTTCATGGTGAAACTGGGGCCCTGGCAGGTAAACGCAAAGGAAGAATGTGTGAGGCAGTGCTGCAGGTTCTCGACTCCAGTCCTCACTCGAGGGTCGGCTCACTGAATTACTGGCCCTGTCAGCAGGACATTCATCAGTAGTTCTGATCATTATAGAAGTCTTTCTTGCAGAAGAATGAAGACGCTGCTGACTGAAATGTTCCCCATATTTCCAAATCTGAGGAATGTGTCTAACAGAGAGGAGACCATTCTTGGGTTTCTTCATTCTCCAAAAGGGAATCTTGACCCTCCATTAGCGTGTTCAGCATGGGGCTGATAAGGGAGGAACTGTCTCAAAAACAGCACGCAGTGTTGAACACATTCCAATGAGTACTGGAAACATGGTCATTCTTCTTTACATTTCCTATTCCCCTAATCTCATTCCTCTAATTATGGTGATATTTAAGATCTGAATTAAGTCATTATTTTCCATCTAGACTTCAATGACTCTTTCAAGAAGGACATAAACTTTGAAGGTCCAAGAAAGTCATAGGGCTGAGGTAGAACCCAAACTCGGGTATATTTGGAGATATTGAAAGAGAATTTACTTCTGAAGCCGGCCAGGAAATGAGAGTTCTGCTTTCTTGTAAAGGTGTGAGTCAGCCTCAAGACCAACCTTGTCCATTGTGCTTCCTCCCACATTCAAAAGGATAGAAAGGATTCAGTTCTATATAGTGTTTATACAGAGGTTTTCCATTGCTAAATGGAAAGAATGTTTAAAAATCTGCTTTAACCAGAACACTAAAACTAAAAGCACTGAGGAGTTGTCTCATTTCTTTGTCTACATTTAAAAAGCTAAAAATCAGCTAACAAGTAACGGTGCTTCCAGGCAGCAGAGCTGGGAGAAGCCAGACAATAGGACTTTTGTGGGTGTGTATCCAAGGGACCAGACTGAAAGCCTCCAGGTGGACAGTATGCAGACTCTTCCATTTGACAGGAAGATTCCAGCAGCCTTCCCAGCACTTTATGGTGCTCAATGGGAACTTTGCTGAAAAGATGAATGGTGTCACACTAATAAATATCCAGGTAGTCTCATGAGTTTGTTTTTGTTTTTGTTTTTTTTGATTTGCTGTAGTTCACCTGTGCTCACTAGAGGGAGAGAGAGAGTGAGATTGCACCCTCGGTGATGTTCACATCACATCCCTTTTCTTCTATCCTCTTGGGATTTTGGGAGCACATGCACACATGCTATTTGTTTTTCAGGCCATTGGGTCCAGGACTCAACCCACGCACTTGGCCATGTGGGATACAGCCACCTTAACCTCCACACCACCACTGGCCCTTATGAGTATTTTATACCTATGAGAATGAGGTAGGTGTCAGACATTCAGGCGTATAGTCAAATTTAGCCATAGGTTTTACCAAACACATGGAAACAGAGTCCACTCTTTGATTCTCTTAAAAATTCCCTCCATTTGGAGATTTTACCCAGTTCAGTGTTCACTAATGGTAGTTTTTCCAATTTGTATATAAGCTACCTGCAAGGAAAGAAAATTTGCTATAATAGGAAAAGGGAATCTTGACTACATTTGAGGAAATTTTTTTAAAACTGTGCCAATGACTAAATGCTGGGGTCCATTAATGTGTGAAACCTCCTTTTGTTTTGACAAAGTATTGACATTTAAAATACTTACATGTTTGGTTTTGTTGTTATTGTTGTTATATGGCATGTGCAAAGAGAAAAAGTGTGTACGATAGAGAGAAGGAAAGTGAGAAAGCACCCCCCAAACACAAAGGGGTTGGCCGTGCCACAGTACCTTCTCCTCTCTTCTCCCAGGATTTGGGGCATGCACGCAAACATGTCCAGTGTGTTTTTCAAGCTGCTAGGTCCAGGACTTGAATTGCATAGTTCACTCTGTGAGATCCAACCACCTTAACCACCAAACCACCTGGCCAGCCTGATGCTTGGCTTTATCTGAAATAGCTTGGATGTGGTATTGCCTGAAGCCTCCTGGGAATAAGAAAATTAAATTATCAAAGGAAATGTTAAACAGCTCCCTAAGTCCTTCCAAAGATATTTTAGATTTTTAAAGGATAATTGTAACTTTTTCTAAGATGGGCTGTAAGCAATAGCCTTCCTGTGTCTTAGGAAACTGGAAGATGAGCTGTTAGACACCTGCACCATGCTAGATGTACAGTCACCCGATATATACAGCTAGATGGTGGCTGTCCAGTCTGTCAGGACCATATACTAATGAAAGCTAAACCTAACTCTCCCCATCAAACCACATGGGCACCAAAGTCAGTAGGCAGTCTGAACTTCGGTTTAAGAAGAATTTATTTGTTCATTTGCCAGAGATTCTGTTTAATTTTGATTTTAATTCCTTCCAGCACATCCTTTAATTTTCTGGAACATTGGAACAACATTAAAGCATAAGTTTTACTTACCAGGTGTAATTCATTAATGTTCTCTTCATTTACTTAAATTTTGTTTTGTTTTAGTTCTGAGCAGGACAAAGAAGACTGGATCAAGGTAAGCTAAGGGATTTCTATTTTTATTTTTGTGTTTGGGAATCCTTCCTGTGTGTACATAAATGTGTATATACTTTTCTATGTGCTTAATATATAATCATCAGGGGACCAGCAGATGGTGTAACGGTTACATCATTGGATTTCCACATGGCCAATTGTGGTTCGAGTCCCAGACCCAGTGGCTTGAAACTCATGCTGGGTGCATGCACATGCATGCCCAAGATCCCAAGAGGAGAAGAGAGGAGAAGGCATTGCGGCAGGCCCATCCCCCATGATTTTTCACTTTCTGTCTCTCTATCTCTTCAGCAAGAGCACATGCCCTATAGCAAAAATCTCTGATTTAAAAATATGTGTGTGTGTGTGTGTGTGTGTGTGTGTGTGTATAATAATCAGATCATATTCATTTAATTTTTTGGTGAGTCCTATCATAGATATTTATATTTAGTTAATAAAATATGTTCATTAATTTGTATGTGATCTTTAATGTGTACTTTGAATTTCATCTATACTTTAGGCCCTTCAAGAAACTATTGATGCTTTTCATCAGAGGCATGAAACCTTCAGAAATGCAATTGCAAAGGATAATGACAGTCAGTCAGAGGTTTCTGTAAGTTGAATTAAATAAACTTTAAGCTCTCTTATCCCTTTGCAGTTGCAGAAGATCTATCTAATCATTTTGTAATCCATCCTTTTTCATTTGCAAGGCTAGAACTGGCTATTTAGACAGAATGTCATCCCTTCTTAGATGTACACTTTTCGTTTGGTATAAGCTTCTTTAATTCTTTCCTTCTCTGTCTAGAGTTTCAGAACATGATTTGAACAATGCTGTTGAAATGTTTTGACAAATAATAATAAGGACCAGCAGATGGTGTAATGGTTAGGTCACTGGACTCCCATGTAGTTGATCGTGGTTTGAGTCCTGGACTCTGCGATTTAAAATTCACACTGGGCACATGTGCGTGCATGCCCATAATCCTGAGAGGAGAAGGGATTGCAATGTGGCCATCCCCCATAGGGAGTGATATCTCGTTTTCTATCTCTTGTCTCTGTGTGTGTGTCTCTGGCAAGTGCATACACCCTACAGCAAAATATCTCTCTTAAAACAACAAAATAATAATAATAAGAAGAAGAATAATGAAGTGTTTTGTTGATACTGAATCTCTTTCCTTTTTAGACCGCTGAGCTAGGGAAAAGAGCCCCGAGATGGATCCGAGATAATGAAGTAACGATGTGTATGAAATGCAAAGAACCTTTCAATGCACTGACAAGGAGAAGACACCATTGTCGAGCATGTGGACATGTAAGTGAAATATCTTGGTCATTAAGGCTGTAGTAACTATGTAAGTGGTATAAAATCATCACCTTGGAAAAGATCTTTTTTAAAGAATTATTGCATTTACCTTTTTTATTTATTATTGCTATTTTATTTATTATTATTATTATTATTATTTCCCAGTTTGATTAGAGAGAGACAGAGAGAGAGAGAGAAAGTGAGAAAGCAAGCCACCAGGTCCGGGACATAAATTGTGGTTGTCCATGTGGGAATCCAACACCTTTAACCACAGTATCACCTACTGGCCCCAAGATTTTTTTTTTTAAGAGGTTTTTTGCCTTATGGCATGAACATTAACCAGAGAGAGAGAGAGCGAGGCAGTGAGAGGGAAAGTGAAAAATCACCCCCGTAGGAGGGATAGCCATGCTGCAGTCCCTTCTTCAGGGATCCTGGGCACAAATACATATGCATCTGGGATGACTTTCAAACCTCCAAGTCCAGAACTCAAACCATAATCGGCTATGTGGGAGTCCAGCAACACCATCTGCTGGCCCTGGAAAATACGTTTTTAAAAATCCAACAAATCAACTATTTAGGTGCCAACTGTGCAAAGCATTGTGCTATGCCCTGGAGGAAAAAATGGTAAACAAAATGATCCCTGGCTCCAGAGACTTATATTCTAGCGGACAGAATAGACAATTTTGGATTACTACAGATAGACTAAGAACGCAATTAAGTACTGTCCTTGTAGCCTAAAGAAACTGGATCCCTTATGACCAACCATATTTCAAATCCCGGCCCTGACAGGGTGTGAAAAACACACCAGGTGTGTGTGTGTACCCCAAATCCCAACAGGATAGAAAAATGGAGTTGAGAAGTGATTGCGGTAGAACTATGCCCCACTGGAGGTGCCTTCTCCATCCCTCTCTGTCTGTCTGTCTCTGGTGAGCACACACACCCTCTGGCAACTATAGGAGAGAGAGAGAAATAAAGCATTCATGAAGCTAAAATGAAGAGTATTAGTCATGGAAGGATATTAGAACCAATTATAGTTAGAAAAAGATTTATGTGAGGAGTTGGTATTTAAGCTGATGCCTAAAACATGAGAAAGAGCTAGCCAAAGAAGGGCAATAGCAAGAGCACTTCAGACAGGTGAGAGTCTGTACGCCCGAGTCCCTGAGGAAGGAAAGAACATGGTCTATTCCTGAGACTGTCAGGAGATCGTATGGCTAGTGCATGATGAGTCAAAAGAATGGCATGAGAAGTGGTTAGAAAGATAGGTAATAACCAAAGGAATTGACGGCTTTGAGAAGAAGAAATGGAACCCACCTTATTGGTAGAAGTTCTGGCTTTTGAGGGGGAGAGGGACGTACATCATAAAGGGAAAAGACAGATACAGGTGTCGATAGGTTGGGCTTTGAAGTTTTTTTTTGGTGGTAGAACATGAGAGGTTTTAGGTTTAACATGTATATTTTAATTGGAAAATGAGGTAGAGTCATGAGCTGAAAGTGAAGGAGAAAGGAAAGGAAGGGAGGGAGATTCAGGAAAGAGGACTAAGTAGGAAATAGTTCTCGCTGGGCAGAGAAAAGTGAGCCTACCAGGGAAACAAAGATGGCTGCGTGCCCATCGGAAGTTTATGCTTATAAACTTGTAGGGACTCTGATCAGCTTAATGCTATTGATTAATGGCAAAGAGTCAGCAATTCAGGCTGGAAACAGGAGATGGCAGGCTTCATCCAGAGGAAGTGTAATTAGGAAAACAGTAGGAAAGAGATGAAGGTTATTTGAATTGAAGAGTTAATAATGAATGAGGGACGTCTAGACTAGAAAATGAGGGCAGGAAAGCTAGGAGATAGAGCTGATGGTTAATGAGAAAATGTACAGGCAGTGGACTGAAGGATTTATTATAGTTCCGAGATACATGGTAGTGAGGGCCAGACAGTAGCTTGGCGGTAAGAAGCAATGCTCTGCCAGGCTGACCCAAGTGGAGGATTCTAGGTTTGTATTTGGAGACATCCTTGAGTATGCCGGGTGCACACATGCCCATCATATGGGGTTAGCTGAAGCTTGGATCACAGTATCAAGATCCTGTTGGGGTTCTCACTCTCTCACTCTCTCACTCATGGAAGACAATTTTAAAAAGGAGAAGAAAAAGATGGGGGGCCAACAGGCAGCATGGTGGTTAAGGCACTAAATTCCCAGATGACCAACTGCAGTCTGAGTTCTTCACCAGAGGCTCACAACTCACATCAGTCACGTGAGTGTATGCACCCAAAATCCCAAGAGGAGAATGGAGGAGAAGGGTTTGTGGCATGGCCGCCACCACCCCTCCCAGGTGGGGGGAGTGACTCCTCACTTTCTCTCTCTCTGTCTCTGGCAAGCGTACATGCCCTATAGCAAAAATCTCTTTAAAAAAAAAAAAAAGAGAGAGATAGAGATGTATAATATTGGATAGCATGGGGCTGTTAGACCTGTTGACTTACTGTTGTGCTCTCAGATATTTCCCTCGGTGGCCAGGCTGTCTAAGGATGGCAGCTCTGTGAGAAGATACTGTGGTTGACCCTGAGGATACACAGATATATATTGGTTGAAATAAGCTGCTTGGTATCAGAGTAAGCACTACAAGACATGGACAGGCAAGAGCTTGGGGATAGAGACCAGGTTGTCAGGAGCCAGATATGCTGTGATATGATGTTTAGGTTTGATTAAGCATTAAAGAGAATTGATTCATCAGTGAGTTGAGGAAGAGAGGGAGTGGTCAAGAACGACTCCAACGTTGGGTCTGGCAAGTGTCATGGTGGTTAAAGGCATTGGATTCCCACATGACTGACTGCATTCAAGACCTGGACCTAGTGGCTTGTTTTTTCACTTTTCCCTCCCTCTCTGGTGAGCATATGTGCCCTGCCATTCATGTGTAGCATGTCATATGTTATTCGTCTCTACTATATTGCTCATTGTCTCTTCAGGTAGAGCTAATCTATTTTATCCACTCTTTGCATTTTTAATTATTTTGATTTCCAGAAGTGATTTTTTTTAAAGAATTATTTTAGTTTTATTCATTGTCATTTTTAAATTTTATTTATTTTTTAAAGTTGACCAGAGAGAGTCAGAGAGAAGGAAAGTGAGACAGCAAGCTGCCAGGTCTGAGACTCAAACCATCGTCAGCCATGTGGGAGTCCATGTGGGAGTCACATTAACCACCACGCCACCTACCAGAAGTGATTTTCTCCTAAATCTATCTTGATTTTTTTTTTTTTTGGACATTCTATTTTTTCAAATATTTCTTACTGAATTTTTGAATTTGCTGCTAATGCCAGCATCTAAAGAAAGTTTAAAGGGTGAAAATCTATTGATTATTGTTCTTACTAATCTAATTTACTGTGGCTTGTTTTCTGGTATAGTTATTCCCTTCTAATGGTGACCTCATATATGGCTGATACTTCATTATCCTCCTTTCACAAACTGTAGCATAATGACTGAGGCTTAAGTTCTTCAAACCCCAAGGAAGTCTAGTCTCAGTGTGACCCAATCTGAATTTCACATTTGCTCTATTCATTTACCACAGTGGCTTCATCTTACTGTTTGTTTGTTTTATGACCATTTACATACTTTTTCTATATCCTCAATAGCTGTATACATTTATTTAAGAACAATTATTTTCTGTTTTTTTTCCTAATGTTTCTTGGTTACTTCAGAATTTCTCATTATTCCTGAAATGTCAAGTTCCTCATTTGAAAATAACAACGAGTAATTGCATTGCTAACACATTTAAGTAATGATGATCCCCATAAACATCATTTGATCATGATTTGATCAACCGTTGAGCAGGGTTTCACATGGACAGAATGAGGAGAAACAAAGCATGGGAGGAACAGGAGATGTAGGTAGCAGCAGTTTTTGGAGGGTCTCGTAAACCAGGTTGGATATTGCATCTTTTCCCCTAGAAGGACTGAATAGTCACAGGGAACAGTAGGTATTGCAGCATCATGATCCTATGTATTACTTGTATGCCTAAGTGCAACAATTCATATGGAAAGTTCTTTTGTAAATAATTATTTATTTAACTTTGTTTATTATAATTATTATTTTTTTTAATTTGACCAGAGAGAGAGAAGGAAAGTGAGAAAGCAAGCTGCCAGGTCAAAGACTCAAACTGTGGTCGGCCCTGTGGGAGTCCAGTGTGTTAACCACCGTGCCACCTGCTGGCCTCCAAATTGAAAGTTCTTTTAGCTTATTCTCACTTTCACTCTCTTTATAAGACTTAATTTTGACTCTGTGAGCCATTTTGTAATCAAAATTAAATTGATATCAAACATCTGTTTTCTCAGGGTAAAACTTCCCAAAATCTATCATTAGTTTGCTTAAAATGATTTCAGGGGGCCAGCCTGTGGTGTGGTGGTTAAAGTGGTTAGATCCCACATGGCTGACTGTGCAGTTCGAGTCTGAGACCTGGTGGTTTGAGGACACACTGGGCACGTGTGCGTGCATGCATAGAATCCTGAGAGGAGGGAGAAATGAAGGAGAAAGATGGCAGCATGACCATCCCCGTGGGGGTACCTTGTCACTTTTCTTCTCTCTCAACAGTGAGCACACATGCCCTCTGGCAAAACAAATGAATAAATAAATGTGTTTGCATGTGGATTTTTGAAATAATATGACTGAGAATAAATAAAATAGTTGATGTGATTTGCTGATACAGACATGTCTAATTTTAAATGCCACAGTTAATTTCATCCTAAGAAAACAATGAACCATTTTGATAATGAATTTTAAATTCTGTGAACTTAGACTAAAGTTAACTGACACATCTTAAAGTTTGTCTGCTGTAAATTTATGAAAAAGACCCTCTGAAAGCAAGAAGTTAATTTCTTAAATGAGAAGAGGATTTCTAAACAGTTATTTTATAATAGAAAAATGTACTTTTCACCAAGAAATAACATGCATTGGCAGTATAGTCATTCATTCACTCATGGGTATTCTATCAATGTTTATTGTGTACATGGTGAGCAAAATATCCGAGGGCAGTCTTTCCTGAAGTTTACCTCCTAGTAAGGTGAGGTGGTCAGTCAAATAATCATATGCGTACATAATTTAAAACTGTAATCAGTGCTGTGAAGACAGGTGCAGGGACCTTCTGTAGCACAGCGGTGGGAGATGTGCTTTATTCTGGAAGTTGGAAGTGTTGTCTTCCTTAATGAAGAGCAAAAGTCAAGTCGCTGAAGTAGAGATGAGACAAAGGGAGCATGGCACTTTCCAGGCTTGTAAAAGCTAACGTCATCGAAGATGCATTCCAGGAGAGTGAGAGGGCAATTATGTAAGATTTCGTAGCCCACGATTAAGAATTTGTTCTTAATCCAGGAACAAGGAAAAGACTGAATACTTCAAATAGAAGAGGAACATAGCAGATTATCATTTTTAAAAGATCATCTGGTCATTGTTTAAAAAATAGCTTGGAAGCAGGTATTAGTAGAGGCCTGGAAGCCAGTAGCAGTGCCAGGGGAACCAGTCATAAGGCTATACAGATAGTCCAACCTAGGATACTGACAGCCATTATTTGGATGACTATAGGGAAGGTATTGAAAAAAAAAAAAAGATAAAACATTTAGAGGTGAAATCAGGACTTTGTAATAAAGTTTATCTATGGGGTGAGGTAAAAGAGGTGTTAAGGACTCCTGGGTTTCTGACTGCCCATGCCTGAGTATGGCTGTGACATTTCTTGTAAGAGGGAGGACTGTGAGGGTAGGGCGGGATAAGGAGAGAGCTGAAGGTAACCAAGACCATGAGTTCAGTTTAGGAGAATGTTGATGAAACATCTAAAGTATAAAAAGGAAAGATCTGGACCAAGTCTTTGAGAGTCTTCTACATTTAGAGCCAAGAAGAAAAAGATGTGTGAGCAGACCTCATAATGTAATAAAACAGCATTATGGAGCAAGCAGGAGTGTGGAGGTTAAGGCAATTGGATCCCACATGACTGAATCATGGTTTAAGTCCTGGACCTGGCAGCCTGAAAAGTCACACCAGGTATATGTGTGTGCATGCCCAAAATCCCAAGAAGACAATGGAGGAGAAGGGATGGCAATGTGGGAAAAAAACAGAAAAAAAAAAATAGTAAAACCAGCATTATGACACTTTGATATATACTCCTAATGTTTATGAAAATATTCTTAGATTAATAAAAATCTGTCTTTTATGTAATGTTTTCTCATTCATTATTACCTATAACTAGTTATTAAGAATTTAAACATGATTATTCTTTTAAATTTAAGGTAGTTTGCTGGAAGTGTTCAGACTACAAAGCTCAACTTGAGTATGATGGTGGTAAACTGAGCAAAGTTTGTAAAGACTGTTATCAAATAATAAGTGGATTCACAGACAGTGAAGAAAAGAAAAAAAAAGGAATTTTAGAGGTATGAAGTATTACATATTGAATATCTTTTAGATTTTTATAAAGAATATAGAATTATCTTTACCATGAGGAATATAAATAATGTATTTTGTTATTTTTCTTTATACTTAAAAATTTGGTTATCAATAAGCAAAATTTATACTTTAATTCTATAATGCTGGCTTTCGGGACCCTACTTTATATGTAGAAAAATGGGGAATGTTACACCACTGTGCATCTGAAATGAAATATTGGGTCATCGGAAAAGTTATGATGCATTTTTGCGTGTGACTTTTCGACGGCCCAATAGATTTGATTTTGTGATAGTAGCCATAACCAAACATTAGAGTGTTAATGGGCATCTTTTCTAATGCCCAAATTATTGTATTTTATTTCCTTTAATAGGAAAGCTTCTCTTTCCATTTATCACTTTGGGTTTGAAAACCACTGCATGAAATTTTTCTAATTTAGGTTAAGTCCCATTTTATTACCAGAAAAGCTCTAATTTATTACATCAGAATAGACAGTTTATTATAGTCATCTGATAGCCAGTGATAGACTGTAATAACTGCATTAGAATATTATTGAAATGTCTCTCACAGTGAAATTGACTTATGTTTTAGAATAAATGAAGACACCCATGGCCATCCCCTCTCGGGAATGCTATCTCACTTTCCCTCCCTCTCTAGCTCTCTCTGACGATTACGCACACCCTATAGCACATTACTTAGAAAGTTAATTACTGTATTGAGCATTTATATGGTAGAAGTGTACAAGGTCATTTTTCAAGGTCCACTTGGGGTTAAAAGTATAGTTCTACAACCTAAAAGAATTCTGAATTATTCTCAAACCTAGTTGCTCCTTGGGACCAGCAGTTAATGTAATGGCTATGTCACTAGACTCCCATGTAGTCGACCGCAGTTCACGTCCCAGACCCAGTGGCTTAAAACTCATGCCGGGCACGTGTGTGTGTGTGTGCCCAAGATCCCGAGAGGAGAATGGATTGCGGCATGGCCATCCCCCCTGGGGGTTGATTTTTTGCTTTCTATCTCTCTCTGTCTGGCGAGCGCACGCGCCCTATAGCAAAAACTTCTCCAAAAAAGCCCCTATTTACTTCTTATATGGAAGACCAAAGTCGAGCTTTCCTGTGCAGGGCAGGGGGAGGACCTGCCTCACTGGGCCTCAGGAACACAGCTGCAGCCTCAATACATAATAGCAGCCACCAAGGAGACTAGTACAACACATTAAGACAAGTAACTTGTTCTAGGTGTGAGTGTCAGGATTTATCTATGAAATTACAATCTGTACCTAATTTTCTAGAAAATCTTAATTTTGGGAAAAAATTAATCAACTACTTATTAGGTTAATTCAGTTAACCAAATATATACACTCGATAAAGTATGAGTACAGGAGCACACACACTTACATGCATGTCTGCGGCTGACTTCACGCCAACTGTTGCGTTGTCTGAAGAGTCACGATGCATTTTTGCATAGAAAAAAAAAAAAACAGAAAAAATATGCCATGATTTTTCCAAAGACCCAATAGTATGTTATGTGCTCTAGAAAAGTAAACAGCAAACTTTTCTGTAAAAGGTCAGAGGAAATATTTTCATTTTGGCAGGCCCAGCAGCCAAACCAAGGATAGTATGTAGGTACTTACAGAACAGAAAAACATTTTTATGGACAAAATTCCCAAACTGTAATATTTAACATGCAGTTTTTATAAAGATCTATTAAGAATAACAGTAGAATTTGGGAGAAAGAATAACATAACACTTAACTGGAGTCCAAAGTTAGTGTTCCTGATCATCAAATTGTAAATACTCATCTGTAAATATTATTTTTAGCCATGGTCCATACGAAAAGAGGTGGTGGGCTGGAGTTGACCTGTGGGCTGTCATTTGCCGGCCATTGTTTCTTAAGCTATTGATGATGAAGCCTTGTTTTCATTCCCAAACCGTCTCAGATTAGTGTTATGACATATATCATCATGCATGGGTTATCATTGCAAAGTCAAATTGCTCTAGAAGATTCTTAATGGTTACTCTTGCTTTCAAGCTTATCCGGAACTGGTGCCATCACAGTTTTGCAAACTTGCACCATTTCATGGACAACATTGAGACACACAGAGTTTCAGAGAGAAAAGAAAGCCTGTTATTTTTCATATTATGTATGAGAAGAATGATCTTTTAATCAGTGGTTGTATTCTCTTTTTAGACAACGATATAAATAGTAAAAGGCAAAGGAGAAAACAGCAAATGGCTTTACAAAAATCTGTTGCAATGAGGGACCTGCAGTTAGCGTAATGGCTATGTCACTGGATTTCCATGTAGTCGACCACGGTTCAAGTCCCAGACCTGGTGGCTTAAACTCACGCCAGGCACATGAGCGTGTGTTCCCAGAATCCCGAGAGGAGAATGGAGAAGAAGGGATTGGGGTGTGGCCATCCCCCCTGGAGGGTGATTTCTCACTTTCTGTCTCTCTCTCTCTCTCTGGCGAGTGTGTGCACCCTATAGAAAAAACCTCTTAAAAAAAAAAAAAAGAAAAAATATCTGTTGCAATGAGAACGTTTTTAATTATTTCAGGTAGCAGGACAAATAGTGCTGGTCAATATTTGCCTTTTTGCTATTACATTCTTATTTTTTTAATAGATATTTTTGCCATAGGGTGTATGTACTTGCTGAAGATACAGAGAAAGAGAAAGTGAGAAATCACCCCCCACCACCGCCAGGGGTGATGGCCACACTGCAATCCCTTCTTCTTCATTCTCCTCTTGAGATTTTGGGCATGCACGCACATGTTCCCAGCATGAGTTTCAAGTTGGCAGGTCCGGGACTCAAACCACAGTCAAGCATGTGGGAGTCCAGCTCCTTAACCACTACACCACCTGCTGGCCCCCTTGCTATTACATTCTTGCTCCGTCAAAGTCAGTATAGCATTGTGTCTATAGGTTCAGGCTTTGGCTCCTGACTGAGTTCAAATCCTAGCATGCCCATTCCTAAATGATCTTGGAAGAGCTATTTAAATTCTAAGTCTCGGAGATAATGAAGTTCCAACTTCTGTTAATGTGAGGATTAAATAATATATGTAGCTAAGAAAGGTGATTATGAAGTGAGCAGTCAATAAATGTTTAAATTTGAGATCTGGTAATTTAAATGTTTTTCATGTTAATGATAAGAACATTTAAACAATGATTGCAAATTGCAGTCTTTTTTTTAAAAGAAGTTTTTGCTATAGGGCTCAGAGAGACAGAGAGACAGAAAGCAAGAAATCACTCCCCCCCCCAGGGGGGATGACCATGCTGCAATCCCTTCTCCTCCATTCTCCCCTTGGGTTCTTGGGCACACGCACACACACACCCAGCATGAGTTTAAGCCACCGGGTCCAGGACTCAAACCGCGGTCGACTACATGGGAGTCCAGTGACATAGCCATTACGCTAATTGCTGGTCTCTAAAAAAAATTTTTTTTTTTTTTTTTAATAGAGATTTTTGCTATAGGGCACGTGCACTCTCCAGAGAAACAGAAAGTGAGAAATCACCAGCCTAGCCACAGTCCCTTGTACTCCAGTCTCCTCTTGGGATTTTGTGCATGCACGCACATGCATCTGGCATGAGTGTTAAGCAAGGGACTTGAGTGAGTGTTAAGCCAGGGTCTGGGACTGGAACCGTGGTTGACTACATGGAAGTCCAGCAACGTAACCATTATGCAATCTGCTGGTCCCACAAATTGCATAGTCTTTAGACTATCCAAGGAGGCATTTCAGAAAGCACATCATACTTTATGAGTATTTCCCATAAGTCACTTCTCTATTAGGTTTGTTTGGGTTCATTCTCATAGAATTCTCATTACATTTTTCTAGATCGAATCAGCTGAAGTATCTGGGAACAGCGTGGTGTGCAGTTTTCTTCAGTACATGGAGAAGTCGAAACCTTGGCAGAAAGCGTGGTGTGTGATCCCCAAGCAAGACCCGCTTGTGCTGTACATGTATGGTGCTCCCCAGGTATCTAGACCACACCTGTCAGGAGGGACAGAAGCCATTGCGGATTGGGTGGGCAAGTGGAGAGTGAACGCCACATCCTTCCATTGCTCCTCTGTTGTACAGGAGCACCCAGACAGTATCACTGTGTGTTATTAACACTGTAAAACAATGAGTGACTAAAATTCCAGCTTGTTGTTCAAGCTGATTGATCCATTTTACAGCCGATACCTTCTTCACCTTGTGGCTCATTTGTTCCTAATCTCTCATTGTTATTCAGTGGGTTTGAAAAAGGTGAGTTGAATTGGGGGGGCGGGGTGGGGGGGAAGCAAAGCAAGAGGGGAGAATATTTTTTTTTTTTTTTTTGAGAAGATTTTTGCTATAGGGCACATGTGCTCGCCAGACAGAGAGAGAGAAATCATCCCCCAGGGGGGATGGCCACGCTGCAATCCCTTCTCCTCCATTCCCCTCTTGGGATCTTGGGCACGCACGCACACGCACCTGGCATAAGTTTTAAGCCACCGGGCCCCGGATGCGAACCGCGGTCAACTACATGGGAGTCCAGCGACATAGCCATTACGCTAACTGCTGGTCCCGGGAAGACTATCTTTTTAATAGAAAACATCAAGAAAAGACTACATTTTGAATTTTGTTTTTAATGTATTCATTTAGTTTTTGTTCAATGAATGGATACCTGAACAGGGAGTTTGAGAGGAAGAGGATATTTAAATCAATCTTCTGTTGACACATTCAGTAACAATTTTTTGAGAGCAAGGTGTGTGGATCAGAGATAAATCTGTGGGAGCAATGGATATGCAGGTTCAGCTTCTAACTGAACCTAAGAGTAGCACCAAATAATATAGATTGCAACACTAATTATGCATTCACCCTGAACATTTAAAAATTTTAGATGTGACTGTTGTGTTTTAGCCGATCTCCACTAAAGTCTAATCAAATTACGTTATTTTAGAAAAGAAATATTAGGGCCAGCTCCATGGCCTGGTGGTTAAGGGAGTCAGATCCTGCCTAGCTGACCCAGTGGTTTGTATCCACGCCCCAGCAGTTTGAAAAAATATGCTGGGTATGCATCTGTTTGCTCAAAATTCTAACAGGCTGGAGAAATGGAGAAGGGATTGTGGTGCAACCATGCCCCATCGTTGGGTGCTTTCTTCCTTTCCCTTTCTCTCTCTCTCTGGCAAGCCCATGTGCCCTTAGGCAAAAAAAAAAAAAGTTAAGGTATATATTTTACTCAATTTCATTTTTTTGTTTTAAATTTTATCATAAAATTTAACAGTTATTAAGTGTTAAATGTCTTTACAGAATACCCTATGTTTTTTATTTCTCAATTCCTCCCATCTTGCCCCCTCCATTGCCCATTGCCCTTCCTCTCTGTCTTTAGTATCTGCAGTTGCTCTCAATGTTTTTGTACCTTCCAGTCCTTCAGTTTCCGCTGTAGAGTGCAGACATTCAGTATATATTAAGAGGAACATACAGTGCTTTCATAGTCTGGCTTACTTTCATAGTCTGGCTTACTTAGCTTTTAATCTTCCATATTTATCCACTTTTTATCAAATACTAGGATCTCACTGTTTTTTATGGTAAACAATATGGAGATTCCTCAAAAACCTACAAATGTAACTACCCTACAATCCAAAAATTCCACTCCTGGGTATCTACCCAAAGGCTAGGAATGAACTCACTTGGAAAAACATTTGCACATTCAGTTTTTTTTCTCTAACCTTTTTCTTCTCCATAAATAAATGGGCGAATGAATGAATTAATGACTCAGTAAAACTGCCTTTGGTATTGAAATCATCATTGAATGTTTGCTGGCTTTATATAATAAGACGGCCATTATTTTCTTCCCTTTCTCACTGACTAAAACGACGAATGACCCCCTCCCTCATAGAGAAGAAGTATAACTTTAGCGACTCCAGGCCGATTTGGTGTCAGCCCTTATTAATTCATTTAACCAGCATTTTCCTGTCAGTGGCCTCATGTACAGGCACAGCACTGGGATCACCCTCTCTGCCCTCAGAAAGCTCACCATGGGCGTCCATATTGGGTAGTGGTAGTAAGAGCAAGAGCCACAGGTAGCCAGCCGATGCAGCTCGTGCTCTTCCGTACCTTGCTCTTTCTTTAGGACGTCAGAGCCCAGGCCACCATTCCACTCTTGGGCTACGTGGTGGACGACATGCCAAGGAGCGCAGACCTGCCACACAGCTTCAAACTGACCCAGTCCAAGTCTGTGCACAGCTTTGCTGCAGACAGCGAGGAACTGAAACAGAAGTGGCTGAAAATCATCCTTTTAGCTGTCACAGGTGAGACACAAGATGGTCCAAATGAGCACCCAGTCACCTTAGATGACCACCCTGAACCTAAGAAAAAATCGGAATGCTGAACTCCAGGGCCAACTACAGCGTGGTCTCAAGACATTCCCTGCCCTCCTTACCCATCTCTTAGCACTTTATGTTGAAAAATAGAGGCTCATAAATGTGTCTTGTGGGGACTATTTTCCTATGTTTATGTGCTCTTAGTGAGTTAACGTGCAGAGCCATTCTACCGATAGTTTTGAAATAATGTGAAAAATGGAGCATTTTTTTAATGAGCTATCCCTTGATTATGTAATTTTTTCTTGAAGAAAATGATATCAATTGATTCTATCACTATCAGGTTAGAATAGGCACTTTGATTTAAGAACTCCTTTAATGTCTTCTCCTTCACACATAGGACCTGTAACAGTTCGATATACCTCCATTGTTGCCAAAATAGATCTGTGGTGAAAAATACAGGGACAGTTTAGACTATTATATTAACTTATTTAATTTAGTTTATACATCTCAAGCTGCATAAATGATGGTGTTCTTTTAAAACAAAAGAAAAAGGACAAATTGGTGTTCAGATTTTCAACTTACTTAGATAATACTTTGTTTTTGTAGAAATACTCCTAAGAATACAGTATCTTAAGTATATAGCAATTATGTATATATAGTAATAAATATAAAAATACATACACACTATACATGATTTTTCTCCTCAGCTTTAGGTTCTCATCTCTAATTTATTTTTAAATATGAAGCATGTTTTATCTTGGAGTTGAGCAGCGTTCTCAACCTAATAAATGTTTTGGTGATTTATGTTGAATTGACCGGCACCTAAAGGTATTGATATTTTTATAATAAAAAGAAGCGGTAATTTATGTGGCATGGGATATATTAGTGAATTCCAACTGTATCTTCAAAGTATGATTTTTTTGTTCTGTGCCTATTTTAAACAGTGCCTCTCCTAGAAGGTGCTACTAATACCTACTTAAATATGAGGGTTCAGTTACTGCTTTCTTCTTGGTTATTTTGAGATTAAAGTATATTTTAGTCACTGAGACAGTAAAAAATCATGCAGGTTACTGTATAGTCCTTTAATTATAACAGTAGTTAACATTGGCATGTACCAAAATTTTCACCAGAAGCTGAACCATGTAAAGCATCTGCCCTGACACGGAACTGAGATGTGTGGAAACCACGTTTGTTGTAATGTTTTCCTTTTCTGTAAGACTGTTAAGCATGGTTAAGTGAGGACTGCATGTAATGAGCATTCACAGCGACTGTGGGCCTATTTCTTTGTCAGATATGAAACAAAATTCACACGTGATAACCTATGTATGGGGGTGGTAGATATTAAAGAAGTTTATGCTCACTCACTGAAGATGGGGAAAACAATATGGAAATGATTTAATAGAGTCTGAGAATCTTTCTTTTGATCCTCTGAGGAATTTTAATAGACAAATTATGATTCCTTGTCACAAAGGCTGCTCTTCATTGTATCATACGTGTAATTAAAATGTCACATTAAGTTGACTATTTAACTTAATCCTTTTCTCAAATTATATCTTTTCTTTCTTTACACTGTTACATCTCAAAAAATTGTCACTTTATAAAATTTTTTTTTCTGGAGGGAGAGAAAGTAAGAAAGCAACCCCTATGGGGGACAGTCATGCTGCAATTCCTTCTCCATTTCTCCTTCCTTTTAAGATTTTGGGCATGCACACACACGCACCAGTGTGTTTTCCAAGCCATTGGGTCCAGGACTTAAACCACACAGTGGTCCCTTAACTACTGCCACCAACTGGCTGAGTTACTTTTAATGCAACAGTCTGCTAGAAATCTACAAGAATGACCCCACTATCCTTAGTCTTTAAGGATTATACCTTAAATGCAGAATAGATTTACTTAGAATTCAAAACTGCCAGGCCGTTATTCAGGCCCTGTTACTTTAAGAAACATATACATTTCCACCACAAGGAAGTGAACTAAGTGTGGCTGACATAATTAGGTCCCCTTACTTGATAAAAGGAATACCAGCCATGAGCATTACCATCACACCAAATGCTTGGAGCTCAAAAGAGGTAACAGTAGCTCCTTAGGCCCTGTTAGATCCAGGACAGACTAGAAGTTTTACGTTGCTTTAGTTGCCAGCAGTGAGAGGGAAAGA